GGTGGGGGGAGATGTCAGACAGTATAGCATATGACAAAACTATAATAAGTTATGAATTATGAAGGGTTCATGAGGAAGGGGGTAGTGGGGAAGAAGGGGGAAAATGAGAAGCCGATATTAAGGGCTCAAGTAAAAGGCAAATGTTTTGAGAATGATGATGACAACAAAAGTACAAATGTGCTTGACACAATGGATGTATGTATGGATTGTGATAAGAGTTGTATGAGCCCCCAATAAAATGATTAAAAAAAAAAAAGAAACGAGCATGGTGAGGTTTCATCTCATGTACTTTAGACATGTTATCCAAAGACACCAGTCCCTGGGAATGGAGAGCCTGCATGATAAAGTGGAAGGTCAGTGGAAAAGAGGATCTTCAACATGGTGTATTGACACAGTGGTTGCAACAGTGGGCTTAAGCATGGCAGCAATTGTAAAGAGGGTAGAGTTCCAGGCGTCATCTTGTTTGTTGTACATGGAGGTCGCTGTGAGTGTGAACTGACTTGGTAGCACCTAACAACAATGACAACAACAGCAGCATTCCATTGTGTGTTTACTAGTTTGTTTATCTATTCTTCCACTGATGGACGTGCTGTTGTGAAGAGTGCTGTGATAAACACGGGTGTATATATATCTGTGTTGAGGCTCTTGTTTTTCTAGGATGTGTATACCAAACCGAGGGATTGTTGGGTTATATGGTATTCCTAGTTCCAACTTTTTAAGGAAGCATCCTTGCCCACAGTTGTTGCATTATTTTACAGTCCTATCTGCAGTATGCAAGGGCTCCAGGTTCTCCACACTTGTCAGCATTTGTTGTTTTCTGATTTTTTTATTTGTTCTTAATATTGGGGTGAGGTAATATCTCATGGTGGTTGTTTCTCTAATATCTACAGGTGCAAGCATTTCTTGACGTTTGTTGGCATTCAGAATGTCTTCTTAGGAGATTTATCTGTTCATGTCCTCTGCTTAGTTTTATTTATCTATTTAAATTTATTTTCTTCTGCCCAATTTTAAATTGCTTATTTGTCTTTTTTTTTTGTAGAGGCTGGATGTTTCTTATACATTTTACAGATTAGTGCTTTTCTGATATGCCTTTGCAAAAAAATTTCCCCATGTTTGGGTTCTCTCTATACTTGATGAAATCTTTTGATGTTTGTATGTGTGTGTATGTTTGTTTGTCCATCCATCCACATGTGCCTGCCTGTCTCTCTCTTTAAAGGAAATCTCAGTCCTCTAGTTTATCTTCTGTTGTTTTCAGTTATGTTTCTTAGTATATTTACACCTTTTATTAAGTTTTGCCCTATTTTTAAAATTATGCGTTTTGTAAAATCCACCTTCATCAAGTTGATTCTGTCTCATAGCAATCCTATGTAGGGTAAAGTGGAACTGCTCTACAGGGTTTCTGAGACTGTAAATCTTATAGGAGCAGTCAGCCTCTTCTTTCTTCTATAGAACAGCTGGTAGGTTTGAAACTTTGATCTTGTATTTAGAAACCCAATGCTTAGCCCACAGTACCATCCTGTACCCTTTTCTTCCCCACCACCAGAAAAAAAAAGAAGAAGAAAGAAAATATCCTAACAGGTGAGAATGATAGAAGATTCTAATATCAGTATTTTATTTGCACCCAAATTAGGTTTCATTGACACGCTCAACTCACTCATTGCCAGTGAGTCGTTTGTGACTCATAGCGACCCGATAGGACAGGTTAGAACTGCCCTTGTGAGTTTCCGAGACAGTAACTTTTTATTGGGGTAGAAAGCCTCATCTTTCTCTTGAGGAGCAGTTGGTGGTTTCGGACTGCTGACCTTTTGGTTAGCAGTTTAACACATAACCACTATTGCCACTAGGGCTCACAGCCCACCAAGCCTAACATGTTTATTATCCTACCCTTTACAGAAAATGTTTGGCACCTCCTTAACTTCACTAGTGTCCTCGCAGGATTTTAGTACCTTCCTTTGACTTTTCCAATTGAGGTTCAGTGTAGGGCTCTAATGAAGTCATGCTGGATAATGTTCTTCAAACTTTTAGAGAGGTGAAGGCAATGATCTAGGTATTGAGAAAGTTTATATTTTAAGTGAGTGTACTTTCATTTACTTAATCTTTAGTTTTAAATAAGTGCTTGGCTCATACTCATAATTTGTCAGACGCTGTTCCAAGGGTTTTGTATCTTTTCTAAATCTTTATAACCAATTTATAACGTTGGTGTCTGTCCTTTATGAAAAAGAAAATTACTTAACAACTAGGTTCATTTAAGGCCTACCTCATTTATACCATTTATTTGAATGTAGTCATTAAGTTTCACTGGGCTATTCTGTCAGCTTGTCCAGTGGTTTTCAGCCTACTTAATGCCACGGCCCTTCAGACAGCGCCTCATGTGGTGCTGACCCCAACCATACGATTATGTTTGTTGCAACTTCATCACTGTACTTTTGCCACTGTTATGAATCGGGCGACCCCCTGTGAAAGGGTTGTTCAACCCCCAAAGGGATCCTGACCCACAGGTTGAGAACAGCTGGTTTATACTCTTGCTTATTTACAGAAGTTTTAGGGTAAGAGTAGAACTTCATAGTACAATTTAGACCGAGAAACTCTAAATGAAAAGTGGAATCTGTGTACCTTGAATTTCTAGTACTTTGTTCCTTTTTCTTCTTTTTTTTTTTTGGTGATAATCCTGTGCTAAATTCTTTTCTATCTCGGATGACTGATTACTGTTTTTCACTTCTTGGCGGCTTAACCCTGCCTCCCTTCAGTCCTTTGTACATGATTCATTTTACGGCTAGGGTTTATTTTGGATATTTTGTTTTTGAACTGTTCTGTGAGATTGAATTTTTTTAAGGGATACTTTCTCAATGGTTAATATAATCTACAGTAAACTCTGCTTGCCATCATTCTTGTGCATTTATAATAGTTGATTCAGAAACTAGCTGTGGTGTGCTGGGGATTGAGTCCTGGTAGTATCTTCATAACAATGTTATGTATCTATTTTTACTGGCTTGGTAAGTAAGAGTCTATAAATGGTAAAAGCTATTATTGTTCTTTTTCTGTGATTATTGTTACTGTTGTTAAAATAGAAGAGTTTGAGAATTTGGCACTTTGATAGTTCCATATCTGGAAACTTCTTTTTTTCTTTTAAAATACTGAAGTAATTGGTCCAATCATGCCAAACACTTTTCTTTCTTTCTTTGTTTTATAGGGTGCCCGAGAAACCTTTGAGAACTACTATAGAAAACAGAGGCGAAAACAGGCTCGTTTGGTACTCCAGCCTCCATCTAATATGGTAGGACCACCACCTTCACTTTTCTTAAAGTCTTTTCCCAGAGAACATACTGACATCTTTTCATTATTTTGCATGCATGATTTTTGCTTGTTTCTTTGTTTTACTGCCCCACTGAAGCCACCTTTACTAGATGTCACTGCCTATAAAATAGGAGCTATTGATTGCTATGTGGCAGACATTTTCCTAAGTACTGTGCATCCATTCTCTCATCCCTGTTGCAGTCCTGTAAACAAGTGCTATTATATGCAACATATAGTCTAGGGAACAAAACCTTATGAATTAATTAACTGATTTTAGTTTTATGTCAATGTAACAAAACAGAATCTATAACTTTTACTTCTTTTCTTTGTTGCAGCATGAAACTTTAGATGGGTACCGGAAATACTTTAATCAAATTGTAGGGTAGGTATATCTACTTTTAAATGGAAGAGTATAGACTTGCATTAGGTAGACTTGTGACACTAGGGAAAGTAAATACAATTTTCTGGGCAAATTTGTTTTCCTTTTAAAAAGTCCTTGAAAGGACAAGGCTCATTTTATTTTTTTATTTTGGGAGGACTTAAAGGAACATTCTATTGCTTTTAACAATATATTATGGCTAGCCCTTTTTTGTGTGATAAAAGGAAGATAAATATTGACTTGGTAATCTTATACTTAATGATTTCCCCCCTATCTTATATGAGTGAATCCAATAATATGTAAAACTTAGGATTTTTTTAATATGAGGCATCAGATTCATAAATGCTTTAGTCTTTGTGGATGACACAGCCTCTGCTCAGCCACTCAACCATGTTGCTTTGGCATCGAAATCACTGTGATAACACCTAACTGGGTGACCCTGGCTATCCTCAAGGAAAGCAGTATTTACAATAGCAGACAGTAGGCTAGGTATGTCCCACAGGCTGTAATTTGCTACCCTAATTTAGGATTGGGTTGCAATTCTCCAAAATCCTTCAAAATACAAGTAGGTTTTTTTTGTGGTAAAACATTCACTTTACAGTTTAAAGAAAGGAGAGTAAGTTGGATTATACCTTTGAGTTTCTGTATTTACTTTTAGATTTAGATTATTTTTATGTAATTGATTATTTCAGTTAAATTATAGCATTCTTTTTTTAAAGAGTTATTTTAGTCATCCTAATATTGTGTAAAATAACTGAAGATAACAACAGCAGAATATATAAAAATAAGTTTACTTTTAAAAAATAACTTTTATAAAGTACTTTCCAGCATAGGGAATTATCTTATTCTTTTATGTGTTGTATTATTAAAAGTGCATGCTTTAGTTTTATATTTGTCACATCAAAATTTATTAATTTCTTGAATGTATTGCTGACCTAGTGTTTTTAATGTGTTGAAATTGACCATCTTTCCAAATAAACATTTTCCTCTCTTATAAATTGCTGGATAATATAGGTAACATTTAATAGAACTGTAGTTTCAGCTTAAGATGATATGTTCAGGGAAATAATTCTAAGTTCAAGAAGCTTGATAATTGTTTATGATACCAAACAATTGTCTTTAAGAAAAATTGATTGCTTTATAAATTTTGAATTTCTTGGTAGCTCTTAATGTTCATCAGCCCTAGAGATAGTAGTCAAGGTGTGATTTCTGAGAGATGTGACTTCTTTTATCCCCTCAATCTTAGCTTTTTTGTCGTTGAAGATCACATTTTACATACAACCCAAGGCTTAGTAAACAGAGCCTACATTGATGAACTATGGGAAATGGCACTTTCCAAAACCATCGCAGCACTCCGTACTCATTCGGTATGTAAGACGCTCAGGAGAAGATCTACTTAGATCTGATTGTTTATATGTATTAGCGTTTTAGTAACATAAGCCTGTATTGTTTGGATTTACCTATTTAGTTATTGCTTTCAAAGATATTGAAGGGTTTCGTAACCCCTTCAAATTATTGCCCTGTTCTCTAACAGTGAACCTGATTTCGTAGGTGTTCTCTGCAGTGAGAAAGCAGACCACCGTATTTTGATAGTGTTCTGTGTGTTATAGATTGTTCTATTATGTCATATATACTTTCTTATTTCTTCTTTTCTATTACCTTATAGAGCATGTACTATTAGTATACTTACTTTATAGTCAAGGGAATTGGGCTTAAGAGAGATTAAGTAACCCACTTAACGTCATACAGTAATTACGTATATGGATTTAAATCCAGGTAGTCCATTTCCAAAAACCGTGTTCTTAGCCACTGTTCCATATTGCCTTGTGTAATACCTGTCACTGATATAAACACTGATTGAGGTTTATAGTTCTACTCTTACTCTTAGGGGAAAAAATGTTTGTCATATCAATAAGTTGCCTAATTATGAATTCCCATGGTCTATGGACATATTTTATTATAGCATGAATTTTTGCTAGTTCAGATAGAATATGCTTATTCTAGATCCATTATTTTTGCTATTGTTCATTCAGCAAATACTTCTTAAGGACAAAGTATTTTCCAAGTATTTTCTTCTATACTGTTGATTGTATTTTTACTTTCCTGATAATGCCTTTTGATGCATGAAACTTTTACATTTTCATTAAGTTCAGATTATCTTTTTAAAAAGTTTTTATTAATTGCTTGTGCTTTCTGTGTTGTGTGAACCATTGAGAAATACAAAGTCATAAAGATTGACTCCTGTGTTTTCTTCTAAGGATTTTATGTTTTTTAGGTCTTATATTTAGGTGATTTTTATCCTTTGAGTTCATTTTTATAAATCGTGAGAAGTAGGAATCCAGTTTTATTCTTTTCAGCTGTCCCAGCACCATTTATGGACAACATCATTCATTCTCTGTTGAATGAGCTTGTTGTGTTAGTTCGGGAAGACTAGAGAAACAAATTCATAGACACACTCATGTGTATAAGAAAGAGGTTTATATAAAGAACAATTGAATATTGAGAAAACATCCCAGGCCAGTTCAGATCAAGTCTATAAGTCTGATAGTAGCCTATATTTCTGATACCAATCTGTAAAGCCCTCTTCAGACTCAAGAAACACAGGCAATGATGCACAAGCAGGAAGAGCACAGGCCAGTGGGTGGAAGGTCTTGTGGATCCAGTGGCATGTTAACATCTCAGCACTGATAGGGGTCTCCATGTGGTTCCTCCAGCTCCCTCAGCTCGTTGTCCATAATGTCTCAAAGGGAGTCAGCCTTGTCAGTAGAGAGTCTCTAAGGGAATGAACAGAGAGAGAGAGACAGAGACAGAGAGAGTCGATTCTCTTGCCTCCAAGGAGGAAATACCAGAATTTCCAGAATCCTTAGGAGAAGGCCATGCCCACACAGAGGCCTCGTTGGCTATATCAAGTTTGACAGGCTAGACTCCACCCCTGTACTCTTAATCCTCAAGTTGACACCAGATTATATAACTACCGCATTTGTCAAGTGTGTTGAAGAATCAAATGACCAGGGACCTAGAGGTTTACTTTGGATTCTCAGCTCTATTCCATTGATCTATATCTAGTATTCCACTGTTTTGATTACTACAGCTCTGTAGTAAAGTTTGAAATTGTGAGTAGTGAGTCTTCCACTTTGCTCTTTTTCAAGATAATTTTGACCTCATATAATTTCATGTGAAATGACACCTTGTACTTTGACGCTCATTACTGCCAACCCAACATCAGTAAAGCATGAAATTACTGGATAGCAGATTTTTTGCTATTGTCACAGTTGCAAAATTTCAGAAAATGAGATAGCCAATCAGTGAGAAGCAGATATATTGGTTGTAACATAGACACACACACACACACACAGAGTTCTGTTACAGATACAAGGAAGCATCAATATTTATAAAGCAAATATTCTTAGCTAGAAGAAGATAAAATGAGAAACTTCATAATTAACCTTATCACTGTCAGAAATTGAGAGATCAAATAGACAGCAAGTGACAAAATTACATTTGCAATATTGTGAACAATTAAAATCAATTTACTTGATTGAATAGTGACAAATACTCATATATTTTGTATCCTATTCACAGAAATGGTATTCCTTGTCATTTAAGGAATTAAATTTTTGTCAACATGTGGTTACACATGAATTTATATTCTTATTTTCCTCTGCATTTATGCTTATTTTCCTTCTCTTTTCCCTTATGTTGTTTAGTTTTCATTTTTTCCCCTCTTCACTCTATGTTGTCTTCTTTGGACTTGCCAGAAATTTGTCGATTTTATTGATTTTATTGTTAACTTGAGTTTTTGGTGTAATCACATCTTTTAAGTTTGACTTTAATTTCATTATTTTCCCCTTAGTTTGTTGTTCTTTTCCTAGCTTTATATGTAAGTGCTTACCTTATTTTCATTCTTTAGAACTTTCTATCATTTGCATATAACGATACAAAATTTAATTGCTTTAGACATATACCATAGGCTTGAATGTGAAATATTTCTTCTGTTCATTTAAAAATAATCTATTTAACCAATTTTAGTGTCATCTTTGACCAAAGAATTTCTTAGAAGTGTGTGTATGTTTTAATTTCATAGTATTAAAAATGTAGGTCATAGTATACTGACCTTGTTGTCTACCTTAGCTGTTCCCTGAGTGAATCTGGATTTACCATATATCAAGGAAGGGTGAGACCCTTTTCTAGGGTGTTTTCACCAGGCAAAGCATTAAACAATTAAGTACATAAAATTTAGTTTTATTTTTAACCTCTAAGGTGCAATTTTTCTTTTTTGTTTTATTTACTTTAGTCTTATTGCTCTGATCCAAACCTTGTGTTAGATTTGAAGAACCTCATTGTGCTTTTTGCTGACACACTTCAGGTATGTGATATGTTAATATCCTCTCATCTACTTAAGTAAGCTCATCAGCTCTAAATTGTTTTTCATAGTTACCCAAGCTTAAGGAAAGACCTTTCAGTTTTCAGTTGTGTGTTTTCTGTTCCTATAGCTAGCTATTTTTATTTCTGGCTTTTGCTTGACCATTTATGTTCCTATAAATAGATCACATCAATTCATTGAACCACAATTGCCTTAATTTTTCAAAATGTTCTTTACTTATATAAGAACCCAAATGATTTTGGAGGTCTTAATTTCCATCTTGATTCACAACCATAAAATCTGTTGCTATTTAGTGCACCCTTACTCATAGTGCCCCTATAGGACAGAGTAGAACTGTCCATTGGGTTTCCATGGCTGCAATATTAATGGAATCAGACTGCCACAGCCCTCTTTACTGGAGCAGCTGCTGCATTTGAACTATCAACTGTTTAGTTAGCAGCCAAATGCTTTAACCACCGTACCATCAGTGCTTCCATCTTGATGGACCACTTACTGTTACTCAAGAGAAAAGCTTTAGAAGAGGGAGAGATATATAGTATTTTTCCTTTCCCCCCACACTTCCTGATGATTTCTACAGAGAATAAGAGTTTGATGAGAAGTTGTAAGGTGAGCTCAACTGACAGTGTACCGAGTCTTATATTGGTTTTTATTTTCTGCCCCTTTTACCTGGCCAAACAATTTGGTATACAGCATTTTAAAATTTCTTAGTAAAGATTAGATATTAGGTTGAGTAAAAGATTCTATGATCACAGTCTTATTTAAATTGTTGGTTAGTGAGCCAAATTGTCTTGCCATACTTTATCGTTGTCATGTTGCTAAAAAATGTTCTTTGAAAATAAAACTGCTTTCTTATTTGCTTTTAGGTGTATGGCTTTCCGGTAAATCAACTTTTTGACATGCTGTTAGAAATCAGAGACCAGTATAGTGAAACTCTGCTAAAGAAATGGGCAAGTATTTTCAGGTGAGGAATCATTTATAGTTATGTTTGTGTGTCCACATACAGGTATGTATACTGGGTTTCTGCACACTGTTTTTCAGATGAAATAAATAAATGGTGTATGTGACATATTTTTTAGCTTTTCCAGGTTATGGTCCAGACCTCCAGTAGATTTCAGTGACATCCAAATCAAATTCCCAGGATCACCTTTCTCAGTGTACTTAGTGTGTATGTTGTCGGAAAGCCACCAAACTGAAATACTGTGGCTCATACCACCCAGACCATCTTGTATCTTCCTGTTTGGTCTTTGCCTTTTCTCTTTGAGGATCATACCTAGTCCATGGCATTAAATCACCTTGGCTTTTTATAGAATCTTCATTGAACTTCACTTAGATGATCTCTTCCTCTTTTCTACACGCAGAGAAAAAGTCTTTTAAAGTTCAACATATGAAGCATATGTTTAAAGTCGTTGTTCTAACATGCATAGAATAAGAAAGTCGTTCTCTTACATCTTAGCTCAATAACTATGTCCTCACACTGTTTGCTTGGTACACATTCCACATCAATTTATTTGAGTGGCTTTTCCTTTCAAATTTGCACTTCTTTCCTGCTTAATGCTAATAGAGAGTAGTAGATTAAGAAATGCAAGTGAACATAATTTTGATTCATTATGAAAATTACTAATAGAGGACTAAAGAGCATACTTGTTTTCTGAAAGCTCTGCCTTTTCCAGAGCACACCTTCATGCTGTTGTTTACCTCTTATTTTCCTGAAGGCTTCAACATGTTGCTGTGTTGCCCAGACATTTTCTGTAAATTCAAATACCAGTGGTGGTGTTTCTAATTGTATTCCATTTGTTTCTGATCATAGTTTTCCTTTAAAGATGGCCTCACCTGGAACCAAATAGCTTTTTTTGAAAGGGGGAATTGAATAGGGCGGGGAACATTAATTTTGGATTGGGATGTATGGAAAGCCACTGGACTTAATATGAAAATTGTTTGTGATTGTTACAGTGATTCTGTCTCTATTCCTCCTTTCCTTATAGAAGTATACTTGATTCTGACAACTATAGTCCTATACCAGTCGCAAGTGAAGAGATGTATAAAAAGGTGGTAGGACAATTCCCATTCCAAGATACAGAGCTGGAAAAGGTAAGCAGTACCACAATGTATATACTTTTTTGGTCATTTGTGCCCAAATCAACGGGCTTGGAATGCTTGATCACCTTCCAAGGATTATTTTGGGGACTTAGAACAAAAGTTTCAGATTTGTGAATTAGTTGATAGCTTTGGAATTCTATCACCTCCAAAGAATTTCTAGGATTGTTGAGAGTTTATCCATTTGGATTACACTTGGAAAATAATTGCTTTTTATTATACTCCCTTTTAGTACAGTTGGTTTTGACAGTGTTTGAAGGTGTGTCTCTACTACCATAATAATGATACAGAAGTTTCTTCGCCCCCAAATTTCCCTTGTATTGTGTCTTTGTAATCAACCCCTTCACAAGCCCCATGCTTTCGGAACCCTTGTTCTGGTCTCCATTTATGGCTGCATTATATAGAAAGCCATATAAATATAATGATATAGTTTGAAACATTTGGGGACTGACTTCTTTCACTCTGTATCACACCTTAGATTCATCCCAGTTACTATGTGTTTTGTTAATTTATTGCCTTTTTCTTGTTAATTATGTACCATATTTATCTTATTACCTATTGAATGACATTGATGCCATTCATTTAAATTTGTCATTATTTTTAGTGTAAGGAAACTTTTAGAGAAACTCTCTTAAATTTGAACATATTCGGAACCCATAGGGGCCATTCTACCTTGTCCTATAGGGTTTCTATGAGTCAGAACAGCAGGGAATGTCTGGTTTGAGGGATAGTTCCACAACATGGAAGAATGCTTCCTTTGCACTTTCGTTAACTTAAAAGTGTTTTTAGTGAGTTTGTTGTATGATTTAGTTTCTTTAATTCTTGTATTTACAGCAACTGTTTCCAAAAAAGTTTCCTTTTTCTGAATTTGTGCCAAAAGTTTACAACCAAATTAAAGAATTTATCTACGCCTGTCTGAAGTTTTCAGAAGATCTTCATTTAAGGTATGGTATGTAACAGTGGGAATGTAACCAATGCTAAGACTGTGACTCTATAATTCATAGATATTCTGGGGGGGAAATTGATGTTCCCTTTAGCGCTTATTTTGCAAGTCTCCATATTAGCCCTTCTTTGTGTGGCACAGAGGTATTTATACAGTAATTGTGCATGGGGATAGTTGGTACCTTTGAAGTATTTTTATATGTGTGATTTTGTTTGTGTATGTCCATTTACCTATCCTTTTCTTTACCATTTGTTCCCCCGATTTCTTTTTAGCATTTTGTATTAGTGAGAATTCACTAGCAGTGAGTACTCTAACATATGAGTTTTAACATTCTACGTGAGGAAACAGTAAAAGAGTAATAGGTAAAATCTTGTGGAAACATCCTTTTTCAAACATTCTGTGAACTTGTTGAAGGCAGTCATACATAGCTCCTTTAATTTAAGTTTGATTAATCAACTAACAACAGCACTCATCTATCAGTTTGGCATTCTGTGGCAGTTTGTGTGTTGCTGCTATGATGGAAGCTTTGCCACAGTCAATGAAAAAGAGGCAGACCCTCAGTGAGATGGATGAACACAATCGATGCAACAGCGAGCTCAGATATAATGACGACTGTGAAGATGGCAGAGGATCGGGCAGTGTTTCCTTCGGTTGTATGTAGAGTCTCTGTGAGTTGGAACTGGTTTGAGTGTCCTTAACAACAATATATCACAGGGATTTCAATATCAGCATTGTCACCCATGGAGAACAGTTTCAGCAGAGCTTCCAGACTAACACAGCCAGAGAAGAAGGAATAGGCAGTCCACTTATGAAAGACTAGCAACAAAAAACCTTGTAAGTAGCAACTGCACATTATCAGATGTAGTATTATTAGAAGATGAATCTTTGGAGTTGAAGATGAAGTTGGAAGTCACTCAGAATAGCACTGGGAAAGTGCAGTCTCCTTAGAATTGAATGTAAGGACCTGAAGGGATCAAAGCTTTTTAGTACCTTCATTTGTTGTTGGCGAATCACTCAATATGAGAAGAAACAGATGCAAATGCCCATTAATGATTGGAATTTGGAAAGTATGAAGTATGAATCTAGGAAAATTAGAAGTCATTCAAAAGAAAATTGAATGCTTAAAGGTTGATACCTTAGGGATTAGTGAGTGGAAATGGACTGGTATTAGACATTTTGGGTTGGACAATTATATAGTTTTCTATTCCAGGAATGACAAATCTTCAAATGTTCTATTTTAACGATGAATACAATGCTATTCATCTTCAATCTATCTTGAAATACAGTGCTGTCTGAGATAGGATAATATTTATATGTCTACAAGGAAAACCAGTTAATACAACTATTAGTCAGATTTACCCAGCAACAATAAAAGCCTTTGTATTTCACTGGGTTCTTTAAGGAAGCAAGAGCAGTGCTGTCTTAAGGCAGCTCTTTCTTGAAATTTCTATCTAGAAATGGCTCATGAACCTTTAGAAGCAGGTAAGTCCAGTCTGGTTCAAGTGTGTGTGTCAGATGGTAAGCTAGTGCCTTCACCTGACTTGTGATTGCTGCAGGGGACTGATGAACCAGGAAGCATACAGGCTGTAGGATACAAAATTGAATGAATTCCAGGTCGGCAGTTTGCTGATGGCTCCTAGGATTGACAGGTAATATGACAGGAGGTTGAAGAGCAAGATGCAGAATCCTGATCCAGCAGAAGTGACAAACTTTCCCAAGGAGTCTTCTTAAAAAGGAACTGGCCACATCCCCAATTGCTTCAAAGCTGTGATCTGATCATGTTGGCTGCACTTCACTACAACTGCTGGCTGCTCACAGAGTTGATTATTTAATGTTAGATCCCATCATGGAGTTGTGAGAACCCTGGCCTACCTAAGTTGACAAAAATCTGGTAACAGCCAATGACGACATTAAAGAATCCTAAGTTCTTCAGTTTGAAATCAAACATGCAGTCAGAGTGCCTTGATAATTACTGGTAATTGGCATGCAAAAATTGAAAACAGAAGAATAATCACTAGTTGGAAAATAGGACTTTGGCATTAGAAAGTGGATATCACATGATATGATTTTGTGAGGTGAATGACTTCTTCATTTTAAATTCATTTTTCAGCAACATAAATGGTGTCCATACTTGTAGACCTCCCCAAATGAAATTCACAGAATCAAATTGACTATATCTGTGGGGAGAAACAGTGAAGACACTCAATATCTTCAGCCCCAACAAGGCCAGGGGAAAACTATGGAACAGACAATTGTTCACAAGCAAGCTCTGGATGAAGCTGAAGAAAAATAAAAGAAGTCCACAGGATCCAACATATGCTCTTGAGTATCTACAAACAAAATTTATAGATCGTCTTAAGACCAGCTTTGACATTGAAGACCAGACTTAAACACTAATGACAGAAGATCAGATGACATAAGAGCATCATACACAAAGAAAGCAAAAGGTCTTTTAAAAAAAAGAAAGAAAAAGAAAAAAGAGAGAAGTAGATGTCAGAAGAGACTCTGAAGCTTGTTCTTGAATAAAGAGTAAAAAAAATGGTAGAAATGACAATGTAAAAGAACAGGACAGTGTGAGTGGCAAAACAGGGAGGGTGGAGGGAGAGTGGGTAGGAAAGAGGGAACCAATTGCATGGAACTGTGTGTGGCCTCCTCCCTGGGGGACGGACAACCGAAAAGTGGATGAAGGGAGAAGTCGGACAGGGCAAGATATGACAAAATACCCATTTGTAAACTATCAAGGGCTCATGCAGGAGGGGGGAGCGGGGAGGGAGGGGAAAAATGAGGACCTAATGTCGGGGGTTTAAATGGAGAGAAAATGTTTTGAGAAACGATGTACAAATGCGCTTTACATAATTGATGTGTGTATGGATTGGGATAACAGTTGTATGAGCCCCTAATAAAATGTTTAAAAAAAAAAAAAAAAAGAACGGGACATACAATTTCAAAAAGCAGCTCGAGAAGAATAAAAGAAGCATTATAGTGAAGTGTGCAAAGACTTGGACTTAAAGATCAGAAGGAAGAACACACAGAGCATATATCAAAGTGAAAGAATTGAAAAAATAGATCAACGTCAATAGCAACATTGACAGAGTCTATGGTAAACTATTGATTTCTACAGGAAGCATTAGAAGAAGATGAATATACAGTCACAACCCAAAGGAACTGGTCAACATTCACCCATTTCAAGAGGTAGCAGATGATCAAGAATTGCTGATTCCGAAAGATGTTCAAACTGCACTGAAGGCACTGGTGAGAAACAAGCCTCCAGAAACTGACTACCAATTGAAATGCTTGGATAAGCTGAAGAATTTTGCCTTTGCCAAGAGATTTGGAAGACCAATTGGGGGCCAACCAACTGGAAGAGATCCATATTTGAGCCTATTCCAAAGCAAGGTGATTTAAGAGATTGTGGAAATTATTGAACAACAGCATTAATTTAATTGCAAGTAAGATTTTGATGGAGATAATTAAAAATTAAATGCAATAGTGCAACAGCAAGGAACTGCTAGTAATTCAAACTCAACTCCTCATAATAATAATAATAATAACAATAAATTATTATTATTCCCTTTGTGTTTGACAAAATAATTCTGCTACTTGCTATAACTGACTTGCTACTTTTTTTCAGTTCAACGGAAGTTGATGACATGATTCGTAAATCTACAAACCTGCTACTTACCAGGACTCTGAGCAATTCTCTGCTGAATGTCATTAAGAGGAAGAATATTGGACTTACCGAGGTAAAGTGTCTCACATTGGAGGCAGCCACAGCATTATGTTAATAGATGCTTTAAATTCTGGGCCTTATGTGTAGATTAGTGATACTTTCTACATAAGCCATCATGCTCTTCTTTATGGGTCCATAATCCTAAAATGGTGCAATGAAGCCTTTGGTTGTTTTTTCTTTCAGCATCTTTGAGAAATATTTTTCTAAATTGTTACTTTTTCTCCCTCATTGGTTTCACTAGCTTAACTAGCTTTCTAGAGTCCTTAAGATTATTTTCTCTTACTTGCCAGTGATTAGAATAAATGGTTGGCTGGAGAGTATTATCAACTTCAGGTCTCTATTCAAATGAATGGAAATTCAACTGTGGTCTGTGGGACCACATTTTGCATGCATAAACCATTGTTGCTAAGTGTAGTGGCATTCCCAGTTCTTGGTTAGCATCCTTAGACTCAGATTTGGTTTTGGAGTTGACCTCATATGAATGAAAAGAACAGAGGGTCTGTTGGTTTGGACTGAGGAAATGTGAGAGAAAGGTACCATCGTCAGCTTCTTGGGCTCACAAAGGGAAGAGGACTATTGGATATATGTGAGGACAGTGTTGTGGCACATGGAGGTGTGGGCCACTGGCAGTAGGCCTCAGATTTAGAAATATGTGTAGTGTCCTTTCTCTTGGAAATACAGGATGACAGAAGAGTCTTAGCTTGCTGTTTGTTGGAAATTATAGTGCCAAATATAGGAACTTAGAGAAATGTTATTCAGGGAGAAAGGGAAAGACTGTGGGCCATATGTTTTACCTGTGGAAGTGGTTAGTCTGAAAGTCAATTGTTTTAAGGAAAACTGGACATTTTTGAATAAACACTGTCAATGATTATGGTGAATTTCAACAAATGGCTAGTGATGTTGCTAGATAAAGACAGCTGGAATCCAGGTGAGGGTCTACTTCTGATTTTTGGAGTGAGTTTCTTTCTCTGGAATATGATTTAAATAGATTATAAGATGAGAAATTGACCACATTTGAAACTACTTAAAATAACCCTTTATTTTCATTGGAAATATAGGCATTTAGGACAGTCCCCCATTTCCCGATTATATCCAAAACCAAACTCAGTGCCAGTGAGTTGATGCCGATTCGTAGTAGCCCTATAGGAGAGGGTGGCACTGCCCTCGTGAGTTTCCTGTCCTTTTGGTTGGCAGCCCAATGTATAACCACTACATCACCAGTGCTCCTGGTATCAGGCTACCTAAAAAAAAAATTGAAGTAAAAATTAGAACATCCTCCCAATGTGTTGGGTTATAATGGTCCTTTTGAATTCCATCTAAAATTTAAAGTAGTTTTTTATCTTTTAACTCTCTCTCTTCATTGAAATTGTGGATACCACTCTTCTTATGCCCATCAATTTAGCAATCTCTTAAAAAATAAAAACATCTTAAAAGAAACAGCACAGCAGGAAAATTATCTAAAAGAAATAACCCCCACAAAACTTTTGACTTTAATTATGGAAATCCCATTTATTTACTGCTACATCTTGAGAGAAAATCCTAAATTCTTAGTACTTGGGTTTCCTGTTCTATTAGTCTTCTAGAAAGGCGCTGTTTACATTGAGTAATGATTCAAAGGAGGAAAGCCTCAAACCTACTGCCAGTGAGTTGATTCAGACTTATAGCAACCTAAGCAGGGTCTCTAAGGCTTTATAAATCTGTACGGAATTGGCCTCATCTTTCTCCAGCAGAAGTGATGGTGGGCTTGATTAGCAAGGAGCCTGACACTTACCTGACAGTGACCATTTATAATTACAATTCTAGGCACTATGTCTTTGAATGCTAAATGTTATTCCTAATCAGTGAATCTTTTTTAGGTAAAGGTACTTTTCTTAACCCTGTGGATGAATGATAATAAGATCAAACACATTTTTTACTTCTTTTGGCTATTATGGTAGCAGATGCCTTTGGTTATTATGTTACTGGTACACACTCAGCGATTTTCTCTTCACCAGCCAGTAAATTGGTGAATAACTGTGTTACTCACCTTTGGAACAGAGAAGATATCATATCCTTCTTAATAGGGAACTAAAGTGAACTCACATCTGGAATCATCATCATAATAGCTAACATTTGTGCAGCAGTTTATATTCTTCAAAGCCCACTCACAAATACCATCTCATTTAGTACAATAATACTTGAGGTAAGTTGGGCATGTGCTATTATTCCTATTTTATAGAGGACATAATTAAAGTTCAAGGTGATTATCCAAGGTCATACAGCTAGCAAAATATTGAAAATGAGACATCAAACCAGGTATTTATTCCTAAACTTGTTCACTTTTACAATATTGTATTGCATTCCATATTGATTTAATTATTTATTCATAACAAAGGTGGGGAATTTGAAAGAGGTCCAGAGTAACATGAAAATTGCTCTGTTAGAGATAGTTTTGGGACAGAGAGCAGAAATCCACTCTAACAATGATATTCTTGTAAGTGCAAAAAGCTTCACAGAACCTTCCATCAAGAAGTCTGAGAACTCTCATAGTATTTAGGAGTTCCTATACAGTTAATGTCTGTCTGGTTTGTCTCTTCTTTTTTTCTGCCCATGTGCAGTTTCCTTCTCTCGTTCTGCACATACTGGCTTTCTTTCCTCGTGGCTTCTTTACTCTTCCTTGTGCTGAGCCAACTCCACTTTAGCTTTCAGATGTACCACCATTGGTTTTTCAGTCCTCAAGGGATTGCTAACTTAGTCAGCAGGTACTATTGCCCTCCTGCTCCTTCCAGGCTAGGTGGGAAAGGCAGCTGACCAGTAATTACACTCAAGTCCTAAAGCCACATTGGGGTCTAAGTTTGACTTTCCCTTTCATAGGCAAATTTCTTATACATTCTGTGAGAAAAATATAAGCATGTATCTCATGGGATTGCTGTATGGATTAAATGAGCATGTGACTTGCTTCAACTAGTGCCTGGTACATGATAAACTCTGGGTGTATAGTGCTTCTGGTTAGTCAGAAATAGATCTGAAGAGGCAGACTAAGATGGACACATCTAGTGCAGGGATGCAGTTTTACTGAGTGCCTATTGCGAGTCTGGGAACCTCAGGAAAAGTCTGAATAACTACAACAATAAAAGATCCTTGCTTATATTCTCCTGTAGGAAATCAGATCATAGACAAAATAAATAAGTTATAAAGTATGATAAAATGTAGTGAATGCAAATGATGGTGAAGGGAAGCAAATGTTTGAAAACCTTAGTATTGCTTTTTGTTCCTGCAACACACATTCTGTTTCTTTTTGGTAACAGAGCATTGATTTCCCTTACGTAACAACCCCTCCCTATCTCTTTCTTGGTCTTTGTAATCTCACCTTCAAGTTTAAGTTGAAGACCCATATCTCAAACTTATTTCTTCAGAGTTCTGCATCTTCGTAGTTAGTGACATGAGTGATTGACCCTGGAATGGACATGTGACACAAGATGGGCCAATCAAATCTCTTCCCAGAGTTTGCTACAAATATTAGGTCCTATGTAGCAAGAGCGTCTAGAGCAGTGGTTTTCAACCTGTGGGTCGTGACTCCTTTTTGAGGGGGGCGGGGGGCAGGGTTGAACGACTCTTTCACAGGGATTTCCCGATTCATAGCAGTAGCAAAATTACAGTTATGAAGTAGCAATGAAAATAATTTTATGGTTAGGGGTCACCACAACATGAGGAACTGTATTAAAGGGTTTCAGCATTAGGAAGGTTGAGAACCACTGGTCTAGAGTTTCTGGGGACTATCTTGTCACCAGAAAGAACCTCTCTGAGAATGAAGTAAGCCCAGCGTATAAGAGAGACAAAGAAATCGATTCTTAATGACATTAGTTGAACCCTTGACCCAGTCATGGCCTAGGGTGGATTCACTCCTTTGGAACATTCTAATTACATGAGTCAATACATTCCTACTTTTGTTTAAGTCATTAAGTGGTAACAGGACAAATCCTGATAGGCCATGAGAAGCAGGTCTTTGTGTATCTGGGAAGAAAAGGTCAGGGCACTACTGGCTGAGTCATCACACATAGGCCTTGGATCTCTGGCCTCAGGGTTAAGAGAGACCTGGAGTGTGGTGGAGGTTTGTCTGAGTCGGTAAGGAAGTGTTGTGTTAACAGAAATACTCAAACAGGTTGCTTTACTTAACGAAACCGACAAGAGATGAGTTGCAAGAGTAAATCTGCTGTTCAAGACCTCATGAGAGTATTGAGAAGCAAGGGTGTTACTTTGAGACTAAGGTGAGTCTCACCTAACTATTTTCAGTGGCCTCATATGCATGTGAAAATTGAACATTGAATAAGGAAGACCAAAGAAGAATCAATGCATTTAGATTGTGGTGCTGGAGAAGAGTATTGAAAGTACCATTGGCTGCTAAAAGGACTAATCGATCCATCTGGCAAGAAGTATAGCCAGAGCACTCCTCTTAGAGGCAAGCTTGGTGAGACTTTGTCACATACTTTGGACATACTGTCAGGAAGGAGAGACCAGTCCCTGGAGAAGGACATCGTGCTTGGCAAAGTGTAAGGGCAGCAAAAAGAGGAAAGCCCTCGACAAGGTGGATCGACACAGCGGCTGCATCAATGGACTCCGGCACAGAAACAGTTCTGAGGATGGCATAATGGAATGGCAGTGTTTCATTCTGTTACGCATAAGGTCACTAAGAATGGGAACCAACTCAACAACAACTAACAAAAAGTTATTTTCTCACTGTTTAGGAAAGTGAACTCTGAATTCAGGGTGCCGCCTCTGGTGGGATGGTTTCTCACTGTACTGGGGTAGGGACAAGGAATTCTGGTCTCAGCTTTGCTAGCTGTTTTTGTTTTTCCTTGCCTTCCTTCGAGATCTTTGTGTGACATCTTTGCCCCATTCCTGTTTGCTTGATTCCCTGTCTAATTTGCTCCTTTTATGTTTCAAAAGTGATTGGTTTAAGACATACCCTACTCTTTCATGCAGGCATGGTGTCATTAACATCACATAGCTCTGTTTCCAGATGAGAGTATATCAATTTGTTTGGGTTTTTATGTACCACCGAGTCATTACTAAGTCTTAACGATCATATAGGACCTAGTAGAACTACTCTCGTAAGGTTTCCTAGCATGTATTCATTACAGGAGCAAATCACCAGATTTTTGCTCTTGAGGAATAGTTAGTGGGTACTGAAGGCCTAATCCACAGCGCCCCTGGGACTCCTTCAGCTGTGCTTATTGACTTGCTTTTGCATGACAGAAAATGAACCTTGCGGACAAGTAACAGATCTGAACAATCCTACCTTGATCAGGTGATTCAGGTTAGCATCAGCAGTGATGGCTCTTTTGCCATCACTGTGATGTTTTGTCCCTTTAAATTGGTAGGATTGGGAGGCTTTTCATCTCTCTAGCCATCCTTCCAAAAACTCAGGAGAAAACATTAAGCAAACCCAAACTTAAAGACATATAGCAAAATACTAGACCCGAAGAGGCTAATGAGGTTTGGCAACTAAATGTAATGTATGAATGAGATCCTGGAATAGTTAAGGAACATTAGTGAAAACCCAATAAATTCAATAAAGTGTGGTCTTTAAGAGTAATGTACTATTATTGATTCTTTTGTTGCCACAAATGTACCATAGTAATGTAATATGCTAATAATAGAAGAAATGGGTATATGGGAATTCTTTGAAACCTTTTCTTTCCATCAAAGACTATCCTAAAATAAAAAGGCCCTTTGTCTTGCTCTTAGACAGAGTGCATCAGAAAGTGAATTAATGCAGATATAGATAGGTTAAACTTTTACATCTTAAATTTGTTTTCCTATTTGACCCATTTTTAGTATTTTCTAGTTTGGGTTGAGGTTTTCCTGTGTTTTTGTTGTTGTTGTTGTTGTTTTGTATGATTTTCTCTCTATGAAGTCCAAGATAGATAAATTTTTAGAGACGGTAACTAAATGGATTGTTTCTTAGGGCTATAACGGGGAAGGTTGGCGGGAGGGGGAGCTGATATGAGTATAAAAAAGAAAAAGAAAATGTTCTACAATTGTGATTGTACAACTCTTTTTAATATATTCAAATCATTGAGTTGTATGGCGCATGAATTATATGCCAATAAAGCTAAGAAAAATAAAACCTTTTAATTGATAAAAAAATAACAAAGCAGGAGTTGGAGACAGCAGTATAGTACTTCTTGGAAGTTTTGGAATCCAGAGAATGAGATAGCAGCTGGCATGATAACTAGGGCTAAGAGAATTTTGTTTTGTTTATGGGAGAAATAGTGTATGCTATTTCTACTAGGAATGATACAAAGGATGACAAATGAGATGTGAGAGAAAAGAATACATCTCTGGATTGATATGTAGTATGACTTTTGTGCTTTTCACCTCGGGTAAAAGATGGGAGGTATGGTAGTCTTTCCGATGATTTCAGTGGGTAGAAAGCAAGGTCTAAAACTGTAAGTGAGAATGAGGAGGGGAGCAAGTGTTGAGGTTGGAGGTGAGAGAAGTATAAACTAGTTCTGTGGAAATAAGGAACGGAGAATTGATTAATGTTGGATACTGTGGTTACATGGAAAGTAGGATTGAGGATTACTTGTGGTTAGTGGGCAGGAAATCAGTCCATATTAATTATTGTTGGTTGCCACTGAGTTATCTGATTCATGATGACCTTATTTGTAACAGAACGAACACTGCATGGGCCTGGGAAATCTTCATGATTGTTGGTGTATTTGAGGTCATTGCTGTCAGTCCATCATTCCTTCTGTTCACATTTGCTGTCCCATATTTAGAAGCTAATTTTAGAGCCTCTTCTGACTTCTATCCTGGTCCTTTTCTTATTTCTTTTTTAATGATCCTATTAGTGATACCATATTGGTATATATATCTTTACAATTGTAATACTCTCCCAGGAGTACTGAATAAATAACAAATGCTTTCCTTTTTCGTTTTTATTATAGTTGAGATCAATGATCCCATGGCTCTATCATCTGCTGTGATAACAGCACTCTTATTACTCAGATTGTGTTAAAAAAAAAGTTCAAGTGTAGGTCTTGTCAAATATAAACTATATTAGACTTTGAAATTTAGACTCATAACTTCTAAGTATTTTAGATATTTTGGTGTTGGAGTTAATATCAAATGAATTAGCAGACACAGCATTTTGGATCCTGACTAGGGAAAATTGAGATAAAATTCCCTGAAGTCTTAGAAAATAGCTCATTGTTTTATAAATGAGAACCAAGGCTGCTCTCTAGTTCCTTGTCTTTGTGTAGGTCTAATGGTTTAGGGATGCTGGTGGTGTGGAGTCTAGTGTCTCATTTTCTTGCTTTCTATTGGTTCTCTGAAAGCATCAGTGCCCTGTATTTTCTATTTTTGGAAACAAACTATTATCATGTGAAACACAAAGAGAAATGGACACTCCAGGCACAGTTTTGACTTGAGAACAGACGCCCTTTCTTGGAATCTAGAGTTTAGTTTTGTGAAGTATTGTAGATGATGAGGTCATTGACCCTGGAGTTCGTCAAGAATACGGGACTGTTGGTCATCATGCCTCAGGTTCCACTGGAGCAAGTGCAGCAGGGTTGGAAAGGCTGTGACCTTTATAGGGACTCTTTGCCTTCCTTTCTGATACAGGGAGGGAGAGACAAAACATCTTTTTACCTCTTAACAGTTTGGAACTTATGTGACTTCTGTTATAGAGTTGTGAGAGGTAATTATTTGTCTTTTGTGTTTTCTTTTCTCAGAGAACTTTATCTAAGAGATAACAAATCTCTCATCTGTTGTTAGTTCCATGTCCTTGAAACAATGTTGAGGCTGGTTTGGATTGCTGTAGCAGTATATTTTTGTAAGAGAGTGGGAAGCAGGGGTTAAAAATATCATCAAAGGAGCTCTAACTCTGATGGAAGTTGATATCTGAAATTGCTTTGTTTCATCCTTAAGTTTAAAATTACCCCCAAAGCATCTGGCTTTACATTTGTAAATGTGCTTCTGAGGATTTTGGTAGCTGTCATTCAGGAGTAAAGATCACTTAGGACTCATTAACAGACATTATTCCCTCTGAAAATGACATGGTATATACTGTAATCCGGGAGTGTTTTAATAGCTATTCTATGTTCAGCAATGAAACATTTCAAAAGTGACTGACAGCCAATTGATGCAATTCATGGTGATCTTTTGTGTTGACAGATCTTTAAAAAGTCATGGGAAATTACTACTGTACCCAGTGAAGCCGCCTCCTTTTTTTTCCAAACTGCCAATACCCTGCAAAACAGGACAATTTTCTCTTTGACTGCTACTGTTTTTTTTTTAATTTCAATAACATGACACGATTCCTCCTTATTATTAGGATTTCTTTTGATAGACAGAATGCCATCTCTATAGGTAATGCTAATTTTAAATTAGAAAATTTTCATTCAGTCCTCTAAATTAACTCTCTTACTTTTCTGACTCCACATCAAGACAACTTTTCCAGTAGCCACCTTCCCACTCAGGAAGAAGAGTGATTTAATTTAGACAACTTATATTTTTGAGGTTATTTTAGTCATCCTCTGAGGGAGAAACAGAATGAAAGCAAAAAGTCGATGAATTACTTCTTTGGTGGTTGTCCATCGTCCCCCCCACCCACCCTGAAAGCATTCTAAAGTTAAAGATTCATATTTTTGTGTGTATATTTTTATGGAAGTTAATAATCTTGTATCCAAAATTCAGCCTCCAAATTCAAGATGTGGGATTAAGATGCGGGGCATACTGGTCAGGGTGTTACAGGGAATGCATAATACAGATGTAGCCCTGATATCGCCTCGCCCCCACTGACACCCATGGAAACCTATTGCTTTAACAGGCCTTTTGCGGGATGCAGATGACCTCTGCTATCACATTTTGGGCACTTGTTTTTTGTTTTCTAGTACCTGCAGATTTATATTGAGCCATGTAGCCTGGGATGAATACTTAAACTATGGCTCTTATCATTGTTTTCTAGCTGGTCCAGATTATCATCAACACAACACACTTGGAAAAATCCTGTAAATATTTGGAAGAATTTATTACCAATATCACCAATGTGCTTCCGGAGACAGTTCACACCACCAAGCTCTATGGGACCACAACTTTTAAGGTGAGCTTTTCCTCCAGCAGTGGGACTGCTGTGCGCAGTGCGGAACCTGTTGCCCGGCATGGCTTTGTTTCCCTCAGGGTGCATTGTGATACATAGCATGGTCTGGGAAATGGGTGCTTGAGTCCTACCCCAGCCCGTGTTTCTCCCCTCAGAAAAGCAAATGTTTGTGCTTGTTTCTGGACATTTAAACTAAAGAAAACCCCAAAACTAAACTTATATACCCTGAACCTTTCTTTCTGTTTTGTACATGAAAATGGGCATTTCTCAAATTGACCCTCATTACAGACATTAAGTCCTGAGAGTGGCCCGATAATAGTAGTTATAGTTGACATCAGCATTCATTAAAAAGTTTTTAGTTAGCAGTCTCTTCCTTTCAATATCTTGTGTCCAATGTCTTATTGTACTTTTTAGTGAGACATTCTTCCTCCTTGTAATTTTATATTTCTCTCAGAAGTGCATATCAGTACTTCTGAGCCAGCGTTAGATCAAATAGGAAAGAAAAGACTTGTAGAACAAAAGAAGGACTGGTGGTAGATGAGTTTCTGGAGGAAAAGTGCCTAATTTTAGAAAAGCTTTTAGAAATTCCTTTATAGTGCCATGTAAACTATACTCGAGTATTAAAAAAAGAAAGCAAGAAGACAGTTTCTGAAACACTAAATGGGTGAATTCTGACCTAAAGACTAACTTGTATGGTTTGGGTTAATAGTCTTATATTAATATATTTTAGTGAGAGAAATAGTTATTTAATAAATATGAGTAAGAAAATATGACGTGAACTTTTAAGAACTTTAGAATGACCTTAAGTGTTTCTATTTTGCTTTACTGGGAAAGCCAAAATTTCTTCAGGAAAGAAGATGTGGGAAGGGCTAAAGTTTAGAGTTCAGGAGGGAATAGGGTGTCAGGGAGTTAGAATTCAAGCTTCACATATACTTTCTACCATATCGGGGATATGTAAAATCTATTGCTCTTTCCAACCCATGTCTCAATTTTCTTATTTCATGGGCTTATCAAATTATTTGAATTCTTTTAGTCAGCAATATTTCCAAACCATGGTTTGTGTGTTTTGTTGTTGCTCCAGCATTGAAAATGCTGAGGCAAACTTTAGGGCAGACAGGAAGCCATAGGGTTGAACAGACAGTCAAATACCTGGTCAAGGAGAAGTTCTGAGACCATGAAAGGTCATGTTGACAGTGCCTATTGGAAACCCTGATTGCTTAAAACACATTGAAAGTTTATTTTTACCAGGGCTGTTTCAGACCAGCTAACCCAGAACTCAGTATAAACATGGCAATTATAACAGCTACATGTTGTGTATTTTCCTAAGCTACTGTTTCCAGAAAACATTCCCTTGCAGATGGAAACCTTTATGCTGGAAAAAGGGCAAAAAGAATCAGAAGGTCTTCAAGGTATTTTCTTACTGAGTTCTGTCATGTTTCCGCCGTATGTGACATAATCAGACTGTCATTCTTAGCTTTCCCTGTTCGTAGAATGTCCTCACAATTACAAAAGAGAATGAAGGACTTTATCCATTTACTCCACTGTAAAGATTCCTTGAGTATCTACTGTTGACAGTCTGGTGGGTTCTTGAGAAGGAAGATTAAAAAACAGCAACACCTAATCCCTAGATTAAGGATTTATAATCTACAGTCAAGAGAGACATAGTTTCTTTTGTATGAAACTATGCAAAAGGCGCACAAGAAGAGTATGTTACATTCCTCATTGATTCAATAAGTTTTTAATGAAGTATCTACTATACACCAGGCACTGTTATAAAACAAATAAAACTAGTTGCCATTGACCCCATGTATTTCCAAGTAGAATTATACTTCATTGGGTTTTCAGTAAATGAATATGCCATAGCTTTCAATAAGTTAGTGATTTCAATAAATGGCTTTGTAAATGTCTCGACAGAACATATTCTTGCTAGTGAGACAGTTGCTATGTATGATTCAGAATTGACTGAATGGCAATGTTGTTTTTTGTTTGTTTGATTTTAGTGGTCAGAACTAGTAAGAAAAATAAACGACCCAGATGAAAGGAGAAATTGAATCATTTGGATTTTTGATAGACAAACATTCTACTAAGAGGAATATTCGTGTGCTCAAGGAGTACCAAAGGGGTTTATATGGCTAGGTAGTGATGTATCTATCACTGGTGGTAGCAGGGATAGCAGATGAGGAGTCAGTTGATTTTGGTCTCATAGACCACAGTAACTTTGATTTTATTCTGAGATGAGATATAAAATTGTTAGAAAATTGGGGATGGTACTGATGATTTGATTTTTAATGGTAATGCTGGTTGTTGGGCAGCAATAGAAGATGAAGATAAGCCTATTTGGAGACTGTTTCCAAAGAACCATGGGATGTTAGGTGTGGAATTGGTCAGATATACTTTTGAAGATTAAGACTATAGGTCTTATGATTGAGTTATACATGGTTTATGGGAATGAGGTCATGATAATTTCAAGGTTTGGGACTGAGCCAACTGAATGATGGGTGGTGATATTAAGATCAAGAATGATGAGAGAAACACAACAAACTTTAGAGATAAATTGCGTAACCAAGGGTGGAATAGTCTGCCTACCAGCCATGGAACATATGCCACTCTCCTTATCTGCACTTCATAAGAACCACTTCAAAAGAGGCGACCTCATGTGGGCTAGCTAGGGTCACTTCTTTAAGAAGGGGGAAAAGGTTCCCTTGAAAAGGGCCCATCCACTTGATGCCATACAACATCGAGACAAGACAAGAGCAAATCAGCAGGCCTGCCACAGGGATGAGAGAAGGACCTTACTGAATGCCAGGTTAAGACCAGGGGAGGGGAGCATCAGAGGAGGCAGTGATATTTTTTTGATGGGTATGGTAGGTAAATGTGGAGGAACAATCTCACCTCGGGAAGTGATAAACAAATAGACAATAATTGTAGGGAACCTAAGGGGAGAATAAACCCAGTTCTATGTTCTTGGGTAGACACCTCACATATGTTTCTACCCAACCCTTGATGAACCACACCATGGACTAAGTATTATGATTTTAGAAGCTGGCCTTAACAGGGACCATAGCATCCCCCAATGGCCACACCAGAAGGACTCGACTTAGAAACTTAACTGAACGAACTGGGTCCGACCTCAAAATTACCTGTAGCCTTGGACTTAGAACTGAAATTCTCTGATGGGAAAGGAAACTAAGGGTGGCCACTCCAAGACAGGGGAAATGGCGATTGATAGACCTTGAGGGATGGGGGTGGGGACACCTCTGGCTTGGTGAGTGTCCAATGAAAGGGAACCAAGAAGCACCATACAGTTAGTATCTCAATGTTCTCCTTGCATGAATATGAGAGGTATTAATCTGATAGGCAAGGATCTGCCCTGTGTAAGAAAAGTTACAGGAAAATTTCTTCTAGAACCAATCCCAAGCTCAGTGTAAACAGAGATCAATCAAATAAGAAATCATTCTGTACAGAGCAACAACTCATGGCTTGCAGCTTGCAGTTGGACTATTCTCGGATAAACTCACATCAGCAGTAACCTAAACTCTATGCCATTGGATAAATGATTGATGTTATCATTGTAATTATTTTATACCCCAAGGTTACGATGGACAATATTTCTTTTTGATTTCTTTTGTTTTATGTTTTTTGGATCTTTTGGTTTGTTTTTGCTGTTGTTATTCTTGTTGGCTTTTAATTTTTTTATTAATAAATCATTTTATTGGGGGCTATTACATATGTTAAAATAATCTATAAATCAAATATATTAAGCAAAGTTGTACAGATGTTGCCATCATAAATTTCAAAACAGTTATTTCTTCTTGAGCCCTTTAATATCAGATCTTTTTTATCCCCTCACTCCCTTGCCTACAGACTTCATGAAACCTTAATATACTATATATTATTTATTTTTTACTTATCCTACACCATCTTATATATCCCTTCACTTACAATTCTGATCATCGGCCCCCTTGAGTGGGGTTATACTGCCATCATTGCTATCAGTTCCTACCCTTCCCCTCCTGTACCCATATAGAATCATTACTCCCCTTACTGTTTCTAAGGGGTTTGTCTATCCTGGATTCCAGTATTAAAAGCTCTTATCTATACCAGTGTACATACACTAGTCTAGCAGAATTTGTGAGGTAAGCCTGAGGTTATAATAGTGGGGAGTGGTGGAAGGATTAAAGAACTAGAGGAATGTTTTGTTTATCTTTGGTACTATACTGCACCCTGGATGTATAGTCCCTTCCGTGTGACCCTTCTTTGAGGGAATGTTCAGTTATCAACATACGGGCTTTGGTTCTCCACTCTGACCTTTCTCCTTCACATCCATGTGATTGCTTTTGAACTTCTGATACCTGTTCCCACTGATACCTCATGATCGCACAGGCAGGGTGTTTCTTCCATGTGGGCTTAGTTGTTCCCCTGCTAGATGACCGCTTGTTTGACTTCAAGCCTTTAAGACCTCAGATGCTATGTTTTAATCGCTGGGCTTTTATTTATTTATTTTTTTAAATTTTTGTTATAATATGACCACCAATGTAAATCAGAGTCCTTAATAACCCATTGACAAGTAAATGGATTTTGGGTTTCTATTTAATTCTAGCCCCAGTCTAAGAACAGTTAGTTCTTATAACATGGCCCTGCTCAATACTCACTCAATACTCAGTTATCAATAGATAACTGATGATGTGAGTGCTACAGCAAAGTCTGATGAAGAAAGTAGATAGTGTCCAGCTATCAATTAGAATAGTGTCTGGGGTCTTGTATTCATACAACTAACCATCTAAGTGAGGTATTAACTAAATCTTCATCAAAAAAGCACACATGATGCAAAGGTGATGATAACAAAACCCAAATATTGTTGAGAACGAGGGGGTTTGGAGCAGAGACCCCAAACCCCATCTGTGGACAATGAGACATCCCCCCACAGAGGGGTCACAACCAGGGTACAGTAAAGCATCGATGGAATATACAACCCTTTTTAAAAGCGCCAACTGTGAAAGTACCAAAAAAAAAAGGGCAAGAAACCTAATTTGACCAACGGTTACCATAGGTGCTGGAGGAAGAGCTTTTAGCTAGCAGACATTGAGTTTATGTTAGTGGTGGTGGAATAATGTAGAAAGGGAAATCAACAATGGTGGCATAACTCTAAGAGTATAATCAATGGCACTGAAGTATATATGTAGAAGTTGTTGAATGGGAAAATATTTTGTTGTGTATGTTTTTGCCACAAATGAAAAAACGATAAGTACAGGGAAGAAAAAGTGTTCTAAAATGGATTGTCAAAATGAGAGTACAACTCTTCTTGATACAATTATACTATTGAATTGTATGGTATATGAATGAAGTGCCAATAAAACTGTTTAAAAAAAATCATATGATAAATCACGAATGTGTGGAGGGGTAGGTAGCATGAAAAATTCTACTTTTGATATTTTCTACTGATATTTAAGATATTTAGTATTATTATTGCATAGAGATATTTAATATACAAGGCAAAGTCACAAATAGAGATAAAATTGAGGTATTTCACAATGTGTAATTGATTTCTTTTTAGTATAGGTAGAGCAGGTGATTGAGGACTGGGCTTTGAAGGCTGTGACACTGAAAGGCCTAGAAGAGTAGCAGAATTCTACAGAGGATGAGTTGTCCTTTCTTGGCTTTGCCACCACATTGTGCACATTGTGCTGGGTTTGGGATCAGCAGCAGTCATCCAGACAAGGGCAAGTTGGGCAGGGGTGAGAGATCTAATGTAGAAAGATGAAAGGTAAAATAAAGCAGGCTTATTTACGGTAGAATAGGTAGCAACGAGATATAGAAGGAATTCATCACAGACTTGTGAAGTACTTTGTTTTATATTGATAGATAATTTGGACTTTACCTTAAAGTTTTTGAAAGACTTTTAGCAAGAGAGTGTTGCATTAAAAAGAAATAAATAATCACACTATATTATCTAATTAATAGGAAAGGGAATGAATAAATAAATTGCAATTCTACCAAGTTTGTGTCTGAGGAAATTTAATACTTAGAATACTTTGTTATAAATATAAATAAATTTGAGGATATGTAGGAAAATATATGCCTGGAAATTATTCAAGAAGATGTAGAAAACCTATATTGAGTAACAATGTGGAAGAAATGAGAACTTTGCCAAAGAATTATGAAAATTAGGCAAGATGTATTTGGTGTAACTAGTGAATTCTTTCAGGTTCTCAAGATACAGATGTTTGCTGTACAAATCATTGAGAAAGAAAATATCAATTATTTTTGTGAAGTCAGATTTGCTTTCATAAAATAAACCCAAAAAACAAGAACTTCTTAGTTAATATGAGCAAGATAGCATTAGTATTAAGGAGGCTGCTTAGAAATCTCTTGTCATGTCTCAAATGGAAGTAGAAAGGAACAAGTTAGAGACTTAGGAATTAGAATTTATAGGGCACAGTGACTGACAAAGAATAGAATCCAAGGTTGCTTAAATCTCTGCCTTAACTGAGTAAGTAGAAACTGGGGATATGGAGAATGTCATTTTAGACCTAATGAATTCAGAGTACCTGTGGGTTCCAGGTGACTAGGAAACAGTCTATGGGTGTAGAAAACAGTATATGGGTGTAGAATAAAGTTGGGCTGGGAGTTGTAAGAATTGATTAAACTATTCAGAGAAAGTGAGGTGACGAGAGACCAGAGAAATAAAAGGGAAATGGTGTCATGACAAGCAAGAGAGAACAGTTTTAAGCAGAGAATGTTTCAGGGAGATCATGTAAGATCAGACTAAAAATGGAAATTGGACATGATCACAAAGATGTGATTGGTTACTTGGGACTAGCCATGTTAGTGGATTCGTAGCATCGGAATAGTAATTGCCCTGGTACATTGTAGACCTTTCGTCCTGAGAATATATATTTTTTTAAATTAAATAACTTTATTTGGGCTCTTACAACTCCTATAACATTCCATACATCAATTGTATCAAGCATATTTGTACATATGTTGCCATCATCATTTTCTAACATTTACATTCTACTTAAGTCTTTAGTACCAGCTCCTCTTTTTTCCCCACATCCCACCTTCCCGACTCCTTGATAAATTATATATTATTATTGTTTTCATATCTTACATTGACTGCTGTCGATTTTCTCTTTTCTAAGAGCATTAATCCTAGGGTACTTCTTAGAGCCCTGATTTCATATGCTAATGTACATCATGAATCTCATGAAAAACCATTTTAAAAATTTACCATCAGAACTTTTGGGGTTTTTTGCTTTACCATTTTATAGGGCTTAGAACAAGTTTTAGGAAATACAAAGGTTAAGTCAAAAAGTTATTGCTGCAGCCAGAGACACAGTGTGGGAATTGTACCCAGTCTGACCCCACCACACCCAGGGCATAACAGGAAGGGAGTGCAACAGAGCAGCAAGGGGAGCAAAGCAACGAAGTTCTTGAGGAATTCTGGAAATAGACTTCAGAATCGGGGAGCAGGGCTTGGCATTGCATCAGACACGACTGGAAAACATTCTTAAGGGTCAGCAGACAGGCCTGGAACTATTCATAGACTATTCTCCCCCCTTCCCCCTTTTTTCATGTCTATCTATATAAGATAGGCAGGATAAACGACCCCATTGAGAAAACAATGAGAACAACGGTTCCTGGGGGACTGGACACTGGCGGGGAAGAAGAGGGGACCCACAAACCCAGGGACAAGAGAACAGGAGATCTAAAGTCGATGGCCAAGAGGGCGTGGAATGCCTGAACTAGAATGCTAGTAACAGTACTACTTGGTTTCCCTGGTACTAGAGTATACCAATCTTTGAGGAAGGGAGAGAAGTAGGATCATAACTTAGGGAATATACAAGGAGGCTTCAAAATTCTGCAGAAAAAGAAAGAGATACTGGAATTTTTCACGAACTTTTTATGAACTCCTTGTATAACATTAAGAGTCTTGTTTTAAATATTGCATATACTCATGTATAAGCTGAGTTTTTCAGCATGTTTTTTTTGTGGTAAAATTAAGTGCCTTGGCTGATATTTGGGTCAGCTTATACTCGTGTATATATGGTGAGTAAACTTCAGAATACTTATAAGCTAAAGGAAAGAAATAAGAAAATATCAAAGGATTGATAAGCATATTACAAAGAAGTTGAACTTTGAACAGGAATACTCACTGCCATCAGTTCAACATGCCGACCTTACAGAACTGCCCCATAGGGTTACTGAGAATGTCAGTCTTTATTGGAGCAGACAGCCTAGTCTTTCTTTCATAGGATTTGAACTGTCAGCCTTATGATTAGCAAGCAGTGCTTAACCCACTGAGACACTAGGAATCCTTTTGAATAGGACTAGGAAAGTGAAAAAGGATGTGGATTAGGTGAGGCCACTACAGGTCATTGACCCATTTAGTGAAGCAAGGAAGTGTAGACCTGAAGAAGGAACTTCTCTGGGGAAAAAGTAAAAATAATGGCAATTATGATATTATTCAATATTTCCAATTGTGTTAGTTAATTGGATATAAGATATAAGTGGGTAGAATATTACATAATTTTCTACTGTATCCATACTGTAGTTTACCCTTGCCCGGTACGTAATTTACTTTATCTTTCAAATTTTGCATTGTTTTATAGGATGCTAGGCATGCAGCTGAAGAGGAGATTTATACAAATTTAAACCAGAAGATTGACCAGTTTCTACAGCTAGCAGACTACGACTGGATGACAGGAGATTTGGGCAATAAGGCCAGTGATTACCTAGTAGACCTCATTGCCTTTCTACGTAGCACCTTTGCTGTATTCACACACCTTCCTGTAAGTGACAGTTGCTCTTTACTTTGTACAGAGTGTGGAAAAGCATTTCTCTTAAGGTCTGGTGTAGTGAGGATGTTAGTTTCCTTTTTAACTAGCCAGGAAGTTGTTCAGCATATAAAAGATCACACTATAATTATCAGCTCTTAATGAAGTTTGGACACCTTTTCCATAATGTTTTTGTTGAATTTTGCATTTTAGTTATTCTGAGAAAGGTCTTTAATATCATATTTACTTCCTGCTGCCTTGAAGGTAATTAGTAATAATGTAAGTCTGGTAAAAATAAAAGAGACATTTAGGAGTTAGAAGTTCGGATATCTATCTTTCATTTCTGATCTTTTTATTCCCTTTTTTTGCATTGTAAGGAGCATGGTTAAGCTTTAGGCTGCTGAACCATAAGACCAGCAGTTTAAACCCATCAATTGTTCTGAGGTAGAAAGCAACTCTATATAGCATTTCCAAAGCTGAAAATCTTTACAAGTACAGACAGGTTAAGTCATCTGGATATTTCAGGTTCTTAAGGAGCCTTCATCGTATTCTCATGCTACATTATCCTTTATATAGTCCAGCTTTTTGTATTATTAGCTCAGCATACAGAACCGAATAAGTCTGGTGAACGGATACAACCCTGACACACACCTATTCTGATTTTAAATCATGCAGTATTTCAACGGTTCTCAACCTGTGGGTCATGAACCCTTTGTGGGTCGAATGACCCTTTCACAGGGGTTGCCCGATTCATCACAGTAGCAAAATTACAGTTAGGAAGTAGCAACAAAAATAATTTTATGGTTGGGGGAGTCACCACAACATGAGGAACTGTATTAAAGGGTTGTGGCATTAGGAAGGTGGAGAACCATGGCAGTATTTCCTTGTTTTGTCAGAAAGACCGCCTTTTGGTCTATCATAGGGTCTGCATGAACAGAATTAAATGTTCTGTAATTTCCATTCTTTGCAATGTTACCCTGTTTGTTATGATCCACACAGTTAAATGGTTTTGGGTAAAATTCAAGTAAACACCTTTTTGATCTTCTCTACTTTCAACCAAGATCCATCTGACAACAGAAATGATACCTTTCTTCCATGCGCTCTTCTGAATTTCTAGCTTTTCCCTGACAATGTACTTCTGCAACTATTTTTTTATCTTCACAATATTTTATTTGCATGTAATATTAATGATATTGTTTAGTAGTTTCTGCATTATGGTGGGCTACCTTTCTTTGAAATGGCCATACTGTGGTTCTCTTCCTGTCTGTTAGACAGGAATCTTCCAAATATCTTGGTACAAAGAGCACTTTCAGCACTGCATCCATTGTTTTGAAACATTTCCATTGGTATCTCATCAATTCCTGGAGCCTTGTTGTTAGCTGCTGTTGATTCTGTTTCAGCTGATAGCAACCCCATGCATGTAGAGCAGAATTGCATTCCGTAGATCATCAGGCCTCTGGATAGATTTGAACCTCCAGCCTTTCAGTTAGTAGTCCAGTGCCTCACCATCTATGCCACCTGAGAGATTCTTAATAATAGATCTAGTAAAATAATCTATTAATGTATACAGCAATACATACATATATATTGTATGTATGCTATAGCATACACATATGTATGCCATGTGTACATTAATATATATTTTATTTTTATCCTTTTTTAAAAAAGTGTTCCTGGCATGAAACCTGTAGTGCTTTAACAACATGGAGGGAAAGGAAGGCATCATTTAGAATCATTATTCTTTATCTCAATAGTTATTATATACATGTATTTTAACATTTTTATTAATCATTGCTTTGGGGGTTCTTATAGATCAATAATTATTTATTTTAAAAGCACATGTTTTTACTAAGGAAACATGTTTTCAACATGTTCCCAGTTTGGGAGAGGGATACCCAATCATGTTGACTTCAGTGTCTCCCCCACATTGTAGCTATTTGAGAGAGTGAGCTTTTCCAGCGTCATCAGAAAAAGCAGTGCAAGCATTGCACGCCATCATGGTGAATGCTCTCAGCCTCCATCTTTCCAGTTTTGCCTTTGTTTTTTATTTTTCTTGTGCTTAAAAAAATAAAATGATAGTCTAGCGTTACTGTTTATACAAATGCCATCTATTATAGAAGTTTATATATATAGTAGCTGTGGTGTCAACACTATGCTCTGACTATAATCTTTACTTTAGCATCTGCACCCTTTAGAAACAGTACTGTGGATCATGCTAATGTTGTCAACTTAACGTGAATGTATTTTCCACAAATAGAGATGTGACCTTCCTTGCAAGCCTTACACCAGTAGTTGATAGCTCATGGTTTTTCCTTCTTTTGTTTATAACCTCTCAGTGTGAACTGATTTGATCCAATCTTATGGTACCAATTTACCTTTTACCATTCATATAAAGAACTCAAAAACCACATCTGCTGCTCAGGAGCCCATTCTTATTCAGATCCTATGGAGGGTTCGGAGGCTGTTGTCTTTAACAAGAGTAGAACCCTCATCTTTCTCCCACAGAGCAGTAGTCTCTTTCCAAAACCAGTTCCCCAAAGTAGTTCAGTTCACCAGCCAGTATAGTACCTAGCTTCACATGACTACGACTCCTAAAATTACCCCTGCTGTTTTTCTGCAGCCAGCAAATGGACCATCCAGCGTTTGTATGTCATGCTCTTCAGAAGGCTAGATCACTTCTTTTGGAACCCTGTATTGGTGACAAGTAGGGCTATAGCTTGATTCCTTTTATGCTTATAAAAGAAAGGGGTAGAATGGAACAAGTTTTGGAACAGAATCAAAATTAATTTTTTAACATTAATTTAATGTTTTCTGTTCATCTATGAGATTCTCTGGAAGGAACAGCTCTCTGTCAAACAGGGATTTAGTGATAAGGAATATATATAAAGAAAACTACAAAAATAAAGGCAAAGACTGTCTTTTTCCTTACATGTTAAAATCTCCAGTTTCTTGTAGTTTTCAGGGATGTTTTGTTGCCACAATAGCAGCATAACCAAAGACATTCTCTCTCCCATTCTGTGTGTGTGTATGTGTGTGTGTGTGTGTATGTGTGTGTGTATCTATTTTGCTGGGGAATGGCATACTAGATTACACTGATCATTAGATAGTAAGTGATCACAGGGGAAAATTATTGAATTCTACAGCTATTTTTCAAAGTTTTGGTGACCATAGCAGCCTACCTATTTACATGAGGCAACAAGAAATGATTATAATAATAAAGTTTTCACAGTGAGATTCTTAAAGTTTTACCATGTCCCTTGAGTTAGCAAACAAGGTAAGCTTACAAGCATTTATTTTCAGGCTCCAGTTTTATAATTTACAATTGCCTGCACATTTACTCATTTTGCATGCTCAGCATTAAACCATACTTTTTTGAGAATTTATCCTTTTTTTACTGATAATTATCTTTCAGAAATGTTTGAGGGAGAGAGGAAATGCTTTCTCAAGTAACAGACCCAGAGCAGGGAGTCCTGAATTTGTTTTCTGTCTGCTGTTAATGTTAATTTGTATGACCTGGAGCAAGATCTCCCATAACCTGCCTTGGTTTTCTTAGTTTCTTTGTCTAGGATACAACGATACCCATTGCTGGCTTTCTTTTCTTGGCAGCTGATATACATTTTTTAAAGGCTATCTTATTATGTACATATAAACTAAAAAAACCAAACTCACTATAGTTGAGTCAATGCTGACTCATAGTGACCCCCTGCAGGTGTCAGAGACGGTAATTGTTTATGGGAGTTGAAAGCTAAGTCTTTCTCCAGTGGAGGGAGCTGCTGGTGGTTTCAAACTGCTAAACATGTGGATCACAGCCCAATGCATAACCACTACATCACCAAGGCTCTTATGCACATATAAATTCCAGACGTTCTTCTTGTCTAAAGCTCTTCTATGGGAGCAGTGGTAGTTCAGAAGTCTAGTCTTCCGTGAGAAAGACCTGACTTCGACTTTCAGCCAATACACTTTGTAAGTAACCAGCACCCATCTGTCAGGGGAGGCTTGTGTGTGTCTATGAGGCTGAACATGTGTCAGGAGCGTTTCCAGGGTTAGGCATACTAGGAAAACAAAATAAAACCAACAGTGTACTTTTGAAAATTAGCCCATAAAACTGTATGGATCACAAATTTTCGATCCCTGACCTATCATGGTGATGGGGCAAGAGCTAGCAACTTTTTGAGGAAAGAACTAGGAGGCAAAGGACATTCATAGAGGTATAAATACAGGCACGTACATAGGTAAATATATTTATATGTAACGATAGACATAGATGAATGTACAGATATTTATATGTTAAGTATTAAGGTAACAGATGGACATTGGACCTCAACTCAAGTACTCCCTGAACACAAAAACACTTTGTTCTAATAACTTGGCATTCTGTGATGCTCACTTTCCCAACATGATTGCTGAAGACAAAATGGGTACATAAGCAAATGTGGTGAAGAAAGCTGATGGTGCCCAGCTATTAAAAGATATAGCATTTTGAGGTATTAATGGCTTGAAGATAAACATGTGGACATCTAACTGGGAAGCAACATAGCCCACATGGAAAAAGCACACCAGCCTGTGTGATCATGAGGTGTTGACAGAATCAAGTATCAGACTTCAGAAGACTCAAAACAAACAATCATATTAATATGAATGAGGGGAGCTTCAGTATAGCACCAATAAAACACACAACTTTCCTCTAGTTCTTTAATGCTAACCCCCACCCTACCCACTATTATGACCCCAGTTTTGCCTTACAAACCTGGCTAGACCAACAGCTTTCAACCTCTGGGTCACAACCCCTTTGGGGGTCGAATGACCCTTTCACAGGGGTCGCCCGATTCATAACAGTAGCAAAGTTACAGTTTTGAAGTAGTAACAAAATTAATTTCATGTTTGGGGGGGTCACCACAACATGAGAAATTGTATTAAAGGGTCACGGCATTAGGAAGGTTGAGAGAACCACTGGGCTAGACTAAAGCATGTACATTGGTACAGATAAGAGCTCTCCACACATGGAATCCAGGACA